CCTGCCACTGGCCCGTGGGGTCCGGGACAGCACCCCCTGGGTGGGCTGCGGCTTCAGTGTCTGTACCGAGGCACTCAGAAAAGTGTGCCTGGTAGATGCGGATCAGAAGGAAGGAGAGAAAACGGAGCGCTGAGCCCTTGCTTTGTCTCCCCCACTTCCTGGGGTTGCCAGAGGGCCGTCTGCCCTGTTGTCTGTCCTTCCTGGGACTGCAGTTCCCCCTGCACCTTGAACTGCCCGCTCCCCCTGCCGTCCCCCACCCGGAGTGAGGACATCCCACCTCCCAGAGTCTCTTGTACCTTCAGGTGTCTCCACTTCAGTCGCGGATATTGGCCGAATCCGGGCGGAGGAGGAGGAAGTTCTGGTTCTGTGAGTACAGGGTGGCTGCGGAAAGACCAGAACTCCAGCTCTGGGTGGGGCTCTCTCCTCCTTGACTCGAAGAGACAGAAACACAGTGTCCGCCACCAGGACCGGCTGTTTCCTGGGGGCACCCCCATCGGGTCCCTGCGAGGCTTGCACATTGCACCTGTCACAGTGACTTTGGCCATGTTCCTGGAGAAAAAAATCCCTGTCTTTATAACAGATTTCCTTATCGACCAAGTTATTTGAACAAATGGTACCATTTTTACATAATGCTTTTCCTGGTCTAAAAATTTCTAGTTTATCTCCTGTTAAGAGGTATTGCATGAGTGATGTGTGGGGTGTGTGTGTGTGTGTGTGTATGTTGTGTGCTGTGTATGTGTAAGTGGTGTGTGTGCTGGGGTGTATGATTGTGTGATGTGTGTGTGGTGTGCATGGTGTGATCTGCATGTATGTGTGATGTGTGTTGTGAGTTGTGCGTATATGTGGTGGGTGTAGTGTGTGGTTGCATGGTATGTGTGGTGTATGTGGTGTGTGTGCATGTGGTATGTTTGTATGTAGTGTGTGTGTGTGTATGTGGTGAGGGTGAGTGTATATGGTGTGTGTTGTGTATGTGGTGTGTGTGGCGGGGAAGTGATGTGTATGTGTATGTGGGGAGTGTCTATGATGTGTGGATTGTGTGTGTGGTGTGTGTGTGTGGTGTGGGTGTGTATGTGGTGTGCTGTGTGGCTGTAGGTATGTGGTGTGTGTGTAGTGTGGTGTGTGCGTGTGTGCTCACACCTGCCGATGGGGAGTGGAGAGGAAGAGGCTAAGCAGGTGGGGACCCAGAGTTCTCACCCCTCCCTCTGGCTGAGGCTGAGAAGCGCTAGTTGTGTGTAATTTTATGTGATGGGAATTTTGGGTCAGATTTTGCTTGTTCTCTCTGAAACAACTTTGTGTGTCACTGATCATCATGCGATACCCGCTGTGTGTGCACAGCCGTTAGCTGCTGGGGCAGCAGCGTTCTCTGCTCTCCCCCCGCGAGAGGGTCCGATTTTACTCAGGACGGCCCATGCCCAGTGCCAGGGGCTCTGCTCTTGGAGAAGACTTTGCAAAAGAAGAGATGTTTGAACGGAATGGCCACTTTGGGTGTTCATCCATGCATGTATACTTGTGCAAAGCAGTTTAGGGCTACAAGTCATTTGCAAATACCCTACCTCGTTACACTGTGCTCGCAGCCCTATGAGTGGTATTCATCTCCCCCTTTTTGCAGCCGAGCAAGCCAAGCCTTGGCAGGTGGAAGTGACGGGTACCGGCCATTCCGCCATGCACGCCCTGCCGAGGCCGCAGGCCACGCATCTGGTGGCCGGCCCAGTGCTTTCCCTGCCAGGGCAGAGGTGCTGCCACTCTAGTACCCCTCACGCCAGAAGAGTGGAAAGGAAGTGAACTTTGTATTAAAATTGCTCGGATCTCTGTCTATACAAAGAAGAAAATTAAACTAAAAATACAAGTTAGTAAATGGGAGGGGAGGAAGAGTTGTGGTCGGCAGGATTCTAGTGATGTCGCCCCCGACTCCCCTCCAAGGATTTCCATTCCCTGGTTATTCAGCCAAGTACTAATCTAGGTACTGGTGAAAGGATTTGCAGATGTAATTAAAGTAATCAACCAAATGACCTCAGAATAGGGACATTATGCTGGATTGTCGGGATGTGCCGAAGTAATCACACAAACCCTTAAAAGCAAGAGAGGAAAGCAGAGGACTCAGAAATGAGGCAGAAAGAGGCGTCAGAGAGATTGGAAGCGCTGTCGCTGGCTTTGGAGGTGGAGCCTGGAGGCTGTGAGCTGGGGGATGCCGGTGGCCTCTGGGAGCTGGTGGGGGGACCCTGGCCCCAAGC